GGTGGCTGTGGGGTCCAGGGCCCTCACCCCATCCCCCTCTGCCTGGGGGTGGCTGTGGGGTCCAGGGCCCTCACCCCATCCCCCTCTGCCTGGGGGTGGCTGTGGGGTCCAGTGTCCTCACCCCATCCCCCTCTGCCTGGGGGTGGCTGTGGGGTCCAGGGCCCTCACCCCATCCCCCTCTGCTTGTGGCTGTGAGGTTGTGGAGATGATTCCGAGGCCCTGCAGGAGAGTGAGAGCCTGGTGGAGAGCCTGGAACGCACTGGAAGGTCTGATGGATGTTGGTTCTCTAGGGCCAAGCTGTCTGTATCCATGACAGCCACCAGGACTCCTGGGAGGGACAGCAGATAGCCTGCGCTTCATTTTGAAAAGGAAGAAACAGAAGAGCCAGGGCAGAACGTTCTCGTTACAGACAGAGGCTCTAGTCCCTAGAAATGCCCCTGGGCCCACAGCACCACCCACACCAGCCTGATGGACACCGGACATTTACCTGGTGTCCCTCCTGACCACCACGGACATCTACCCCACACCCCTGCTGACCACCACGGACATCCACCCCACACCCCTCCTGACCACCACGGACATCCACCCCACACCCTTCCTGACCACCACGGACATCTACCCCACACCTTTCCTGACCACCACGGACATCTACCCACACCCCTGCTGACCACCACGGACATCTACCCCACACCCCTCCTGACCATTGCGGACATCCACCCACACACCCCCTACTGGCCACCATGGGCATCTATCCCACGTTCCTGCCTGCCAGCTATGGCTGGGGACCCAGTCCAGCCTCCAGTTACCCACTGACCTGCGGCACTGACTTTAGTTCTGAGTAAGGACAGCAGCCCTAATACAGTAGAGAAGCCTCTGGTCAGTTTGGCCAGCTGTAAGTGTGCAGCTGTGTCTTCAGGGTGGGTTCATGGTGGCCGCTGGTGGGGCAGAGCCGGTCATTGTGCAGATTCATGTGTCTAAAGTAGCTGGGTGGACTTGAGTTTCCAGAGCTTCTGCATGTGGTGTGGTTGCTAGTCTCCCCCATCCCCAGCCTCTGGGAGGGCTTCCTGCGGGGCAGACGCACAGTGGTGGGATTTGAGTCAGGACTAAGAACCCGGGAATCTGGGCTGGAGGAAACTCCTTGTCTGCTCCTCTTTGGATTTCCAGTGGCCGTGAGCAAACACCAGGGCAACCCCTGGAGACTGGAGGACAGAGTTAGGTGTGTCTGAGCTGCCGAAGGTCCAGGCCCAGTCTGCCCACCATCTCCCCATACCGGCACGTGGACCCCCTCAGAGTCTACCGGGGGACCTACCAGAACTGCTCCACACTGCCCCCATGTCTCCACTCCCTTTCCCAGCATCCTGCAGCCCCTCAGCCAGAAGGAAGAGACAGCTGAACCTCACTGAGGCCGGCCTCCTTCCCTCCCTGGGGGCTTCCTGAAGATGTACAGGGTTCTGGCGGCTACCTTGACAGGGCAGCAGAAAGTCACCCACAGATAGACTCTAGAGTCAACCAAACAAGAACAGTTCATGGAGATTCTGGTGTGGTTTCTGACTCACATAGAACGAAAACCAAGGAGGAAACACAGATGGCTGTGTGGACAGACACAGTCCCAGGAAGATAGCCTTCCCTTTGCTAAGGATGATGGAGTGTGTCTCCTGTGATGATGGAGTGTGATCTCCTGTGATGATGGAGTGTGTCTCCTGTGATGATGGAGTGT